GGGAGGCTGGAGGCAGCAGGGGCCACCTTCCAGGGTGCCTTCATTTGCGTTCCCTTGTTCTGAGACCTGAATGTCAAGAAGGAGCAACTGAATCAAAAAACCTGGGGAGACAAGAGTCTGGCCAAGGGAACAGTCAATGCAAAAGCTCGGAATGTTGAAGTCCAGTATGGATGAGACAGAGAAAGTTAAAAAGAAAGAGGAAGCAAAGAAACTGGAGAGGTGGGCACGGCAGACGGTAGGAAGGCGTTTGTATGTTACATCAAACGGTTTGGGAAGGCATTGAATGTATTCAGTCAGGGGCTGGTGTTTCTGGTTTATATTTTACACACCTCTCTGGCCAGAGTGCAATGAATGGATTTTAGAGAACAAGAAAGCTACTGAGAAGCCAGAGCTAATGTCGACCACCAGACAGTTTAAATAATCTGTCTTGGCACTTGCATTGGTGTGGGGTCCAAGCCAGGCAATGTAGGTTTCTTTCTTACATTCTTCCTTCCAGAATTCAGTCAACAACATCTGAGTAGTGAGTTGCATGCTAGACCCCATAGAACTTGCAATCTAGTCTCCCCCTTTCCTACATGTTGACAAGCATCCTGCCTATATTCCCCCTAGATGAATGTCTTAAGAAAACAGGAACATCCGATGCGGTTATGGTGAAGTAAACATTCTCCATATGCCAATATGCTCTAATCCTCACTGGGCCATACTACTCATAGTAGTCGTATGAACTTTCTAGCCCTCGCTTCTTAGTCTCTACCTATCAACTAGGGGACTGAGAAGACTATCACCTAAAAAACAAAATTCTTTTAGCTCTAAAATGTGTTATTGAGGTTGTGAGGTTGTGGGAGACAGTTATTTTCGACTATTCATTTCCAACTATCTAAAGCATTTGCATTTGGAAATGAGTTACTGTACTACTCACATGTACGCTTGAAAAATCTGAGACTTGATGTCGGATTGTCCAGTGGGCAGACTAAGCATATGCTCTATGGCTTCAGCAAAAAAGTGGTTCCTGAAAATGAGAAAAAGTCAATGTTGATGAATTTTCCATAATTCTTCAATCAGAAAAATCTAGAAAATAATTGTTTTAATCCACATATGTGTATGGTTGTTTTAGGGCTAATTTTATCTTTGTTTCGGATTACACATAGATAGGGAGCTCTGCGCTCATTTTTGTTTTGGGGGCCTCTAAAAACCAGAATCCATTGTTGCTGAGACATCTGCATCATGTGTGGATGTGTTTGACCATACGGAATATGTTCTTGCCCATAAGTTTGCCTGTGATTTTCCCCTAGAGCCAGAAGGAATGCAACTATATGGACTAGCTTAGACTTCTGACCTCCAGAATTGTAATATAATAAATTTGTATTGTTTTACACTAAGTTTGTGATAATTTATTACAGCAGCCACAAGAAACTAATACCCACTATCCTAGAATATGCTTCCTGGAGAATTCCACCTAAGACAGGCTATTTAAATCGTAGTGAATCAGTATTAAAACTAAATTATTTCTGTCTGCCATTTTGTTTGCACAGTCCCATTTGTACACTCCCACCCTCATCCCCAATACAAACCTGTAGTGGCCCCATTTCTTCTCTCTGCCCATCCTAATCACATCCTTCCTACCAAGCTGACCTCTATGCAGCCTTTCCTGATAGTTACAAGGTCTGTCAATTAAGTTTGCAAACTTACCATCATGCACTTACATTGGCAGCACTGTACAACTAACTCAGTAAGGTTTCATAACCTTGGTATGTCAGCGTCTCACAGCTGTGTTCGTGTCAATGTGCAGTAGTGTCTCTCTGAATGGCGTTCATTATTGTTGTTGCATGTTTTTGTGTGTCATCACAAGAATGTCAGAGCTTGAATTAGAGCAAAAAATGAACATTAAATTTCTTGTTAAACTTGGTGGAAGCGAAATCAGAGTCTTGTTAGTCCAAGTTTATGGGAATAATGCCATGAAGAAAATGGCAGTGTACAAATGGGTTAAATGTTTTTATGAGGGGAGAGAAAACATCACTGATGACGAGAGGCCAGGACAGCCAATAATGAGCAGAACTAACAAAAATATTGCAAAAATTCATCATATTGTGGTCTAAATCACTGACTGACTGAGAAGCATAGTAGACCAAATAAACATTGATAGGGAAACAGGAAAATCTTAACTAAAAATATTGACATGAGAAAGGTGTGTGCAAAATGGTCTCAAAGGAGCTCTTACATCACAACAATGCTCAACCTGGAGGTAGAACCCATTGCAGGGTTGGGATTTTGAGTGGTTGGTGAACCCATAGTCCAAGAGTCTCATTATAGGTGCAAAACAAAATGTCAAGAAGGAAGGAAGGAAGTCTGATAGAGTAAATAAACTAAAGGTAAGTATAGCCTCCTTCACCACTGAGTCTTAGCTCCACTTGTAACTGTTATGTTGTATTGTCAAAGAGTAGTGTATATTTTACTTCCTTATTCAACATCTACTTCCCCCATGCTTCCTTCCTGACAGGAACAAAATTTTGTTCAGACATTCACTATTCACCTTCACAGCCCCTGATTACCTGTGGCTACAGAGTAGGTGAGTGGGTAACCCTGTCCCCATTGCCGGGGGTTGGTTTCCACTCACTTAAGGTAATCATAGTAATCCCTCCTCCATTGTCAGTGTTGAGATTAGGAATTGATCATGTCGCTCAATGCAGACCAAAGACTCTTAAGGGGAAATCTGCTGAGAGATCTCTAGGAAAAATTTCCTTCTTAAAGGGGGAATAAAAGAAAGAAATGACAATCAACTTAAAAACATCATGCTAGGCGAAATAAGCCAGTCACAAAAGACCTCATATTTGTATGCCTCCACTTATATGAAACATCCAGAATTGGCAGATACATAGAAATGAAAAGTAGCTTAGATGCTGCCTAGGACTGGGGTTGAGGAAAGATTGGGGGGAAATGGGAAATGACTGCTAATGAGTATGGGATTTCTTTTGAGGGTGATGAAAATGTTCTAAAATTGGTCGTGGTGTTAGTTGCACACTCTATAGATATACTAAAAACCAGTGAATCATACATTTTCAGTGGGAAAATTATATGATGTGTGAATGATATCTCAATAAAGCCGTTTTAAAAAAAGAGGAAGAGGTGGTCTCACTTTTCCCCCATCGGATTCTATATGTGCACATAATGCCTGAAACTGCTGCAGTCATTCTTCATCCAGGAAGCGAGCCAGCCCCCAGGGAAAGCCAACCCACTGAGAATGTCAGAGGGAAAAGATGGCAAGGACCCAGGTCCTCAATGACATCATGGAATCAAATGATTGTACTATGTCTGGAGTTTTACAAACTCTGAACATTCTATTACATAAAACGATAAAGCCCCTTGTCGGTTAGGCTAGAGTCAGGGTTTTTCTTTTCCCTGGAGCCATGAGCACAGACTTGATAAAAAGCCATAGGCTACATAGGTGGGTAAGAAACACAATGAGGACAGTGTTTTTACAAACATGACGTTGAGGTTGTAAGGGTGAAAACTGATGACAGAAAACAGCAGTTGACATCAGTGAGATGCTTAACTTTGTATTTTTCCTAAACTCGCCCTCCAATCATTTCCCTGGATCTTGAACCCATGCGATGCTCATTTTCTATAGATTCATTAACACTAAAATAGAGTTAAAAGTTCAGAAAAATGAGGTAGGGCTCAGATCACTATCAGTAACCTTATACGGTAGCATCTCAGATGGAATTTGCTTGTGGGAATAGATGCTTCCCAGAGTCAGTACTTACATACACACTCTTTTAAGATTCATTTTGGTTTATTTACTCATTTTATGCATGCAGATACTTCTTTAGACTACTTTGTTTCCCCTAGGAAAAGGTTCTTGTGGTATTTATGCTTAAAATTCTTTCCATATTATGACCTTTAACATTCACAGAATCTGTTACAACCAGATTGGAAACATGTAAATGAGGCCTTTCAAGAAACCAGCAGGTTCCTAGAAGAGAGAGTATTTTCCACAGAATTGCATGGGATTTTACGTGAACCCTCTGTAGTGCCCACTGTCACACAGGATCTACATGGCCCTGCCTTTTCCTGAATGTAACTTCTTTTGTTTGTTTGTTTGTTTGTTTGTTTGTTTGTTTGAGTTGAAGCCTCACTTTTGTTGCCCAGGCTGGAGTGCAGTGGCACACTCAGGGCTACCGCAGCCTCGACTTGCTAGGCTTAGGCAATCTTCCTGCCTCGGCCTTCCAAGTATCTGGAACTATAGATGCACACCACCACACCCAACTAATTTTTGTGATTTATTGTAGAGATGAGGTCTCACCAAGTTGCCCAGAATGGTCTCGAACCCCGGGGCTCAGGCGATCCTCTCACCTTGGACTCTCAAAATGCTGGGATTATAGGCTGAACCACTGCTCCCGGCCTGTAGTTTCTCTTGTTCATGTGTCTCTGTGTCATCCTTTGCCACCTTTTCCTCCTGACTCCAGCTGGGCCCTGGCTGACACTTTCCAGGTGCCTGTTTACTATGAGAGTGAGAACGAACAAAGGTAGGGCCCATGCTGATTGTATCAAGAAAGGTCTCCAATATTGTTTTGCAAAACCCAGTCTCTCAGAGTGACCCAATTTCTAAGTACCCTAGAATAAGAAGTGGGCAGTTCTTTTTTTTTTAATTATAAATATGTGGTGTACAGTTCAGGGTTAGGTATTTATATGTTCATTATTCAGGTACCCTTGTTGA